CTGATGGCAAGTATCTAGGGGATAAAATAAATAACAAATAAAAATCCCTACTTTATCTAAAACTTTAAAACAGGTTTGGGTTTAGCTATGAGTTATACTAATTGTTTTTAAATATAAATTAAAAAAAAATACTACAGCTATAGTTTCCCATTAACAACACAAATTCTGGAAACAGTCATCATGTGAAACCTTTTATGGGTCAACCTAACAATTCACATAGCACAGTATATAACCTGCACATCTTGCATATTAAGTCAAACCCATTAGATTTGTAAATGAGTTCTCCTCTTCCAAAGGGTCAGTAAGGTCAGAGAAAGAAGCTTATGACATAATGCAAAGTGACACACTTATTGGATTCCTGGAAGTCAAAAAAATAAAAAGTGCATCTCACACCGGCAAGAGGCTATCATAGTGAGGGCCAGGGCATCTTCCATCAGGAGCAATGCCCCCCCCCCCCCCCCCCCCCCCAAGCCGGGGCTGCTTTTTCTTGTTTTATCTTGGTGTATTAAAACACGTGTACCCTTTCACAAAGCTGCTGATAGTGACAAGCACAGAAAGTTTAATAGGCATAAGTGGTCATCCAACACCAAAATGACATGGAAGCACAAAAGGTATTAAGCCGGTTTCCATAACAAACTGTATTCCATAACATTAATTGTCTAGCACAATTGAAGGCACCTGATGGTTGACTTGTTTTCTGATCTCTGATTAGTAACCTTATGGTGAGGGTTCTGGTATCTCGTTGGATTTGAAATACTCTCCCACATCAATGTTTAATTACAAGCACTATCAATTACACAATTATGAAGAGAGCAAATTAAGGGGAACTTGGATCTAAATAAAAAGCAGGGTATTGTTTCAAAGCGATTCAAATTGCTAAACATAACCATTTAACACTTTTACCTACTTTCCTTGTAACTGGAGAGTGCTTAACATGCTGCCCATTGTCTGACACTGCAAACTATCAAACCTACAGGTCAACTTGTTATTTTTCTATTTTTAAACCAAATTTTCAGCATGTGATTTCCCCACTGAGCTGAGGTTTGCGGTAGTGTTGAATTCACTGGGAAATGATCTGATACTGTGAGATGTAGTCAAAGATGGATCATCCACAAGGCAACCTAAGTAGGACACTTAGGTTGCCTTGTGGATGGTTCTCCACAATGAACTCAGCTATAGGCCAATGGTTGTCTAGGGACTCAGCTAGAGCACTCATGCTCCTGCAGTAAAACAGGGGGTTAGCGTATTTGGCCAAAGCTCTGCACCTGCCTGTCACTTTATAAGGGAGGATGCATTTATAGGTAGTTGATGTCTGATTGCCAGTGCAGACAGTTTTTTTTTTCTGCCTACTGCCAATCCATATCAAAGTAAATTCAGGGGACAAAGATACCTTGCATAGGCTTCCATTTTGTGTTAACCCATCTCTGCATGTAGTGACTATACAAGATCTTTTAGCCAGAGAGGGCTGCAGGCACTGAACACTTGTGTGACCCTAGCCTCAAGGCATTCACAAAGATGGGCAATTGCTCTCCAACCCTGCACAGCTCTATCTTTTCCAGCCCTGCAATTCTTGTGGCTCACCTGCTGCTTTATGGTCCCATTGCCCGTCACCATCCCCACAGCTTCCTGTATCTGATGTCCATTACAAGAGCCGCTGCCATCTTCCTATGCAGTACAGCTGCATAGAAATGCCCCATCATGTCAGGGATGCCACCTGGTGTTAGAACATGCACTAAGACAGATTCCTGTTTGGTTGCCTGCTCCTGTCCTGACAACCTCTCTTTTCCTTTCTGTTCTTGCTAATCCTAGTTATGACACAACTTGCCAATGATTCTTTTGCTCCTGATTAGAAAGCTCTGGTTGCTCATCTCAGTCTAACACTTGCCCTGACACTTGCCCTGATTACAAATATGGCTTCTGTCATCACTTTTGCCTGGTAACTGTCTGTTAGAGGGAGCAATAGTAAGATGGGACCTTTGATGTGGACATATTCAACCCTCCTTACACTAGCAATATATGTAAAGACTGCATCATATTTTAGGCTATGACTATCATTGATAACACCATTTAACAGGCCAGTTATGACCAGGTGATGACTACTATGTCTATGGATAGCAGCTGACAGCCCTAGTGAATCATGGGGCACAGCAGATCAGCTGGGTTGAATTTTTTGCGCTAATCATTTTAATTTCCTCCAATTATAGCTAGTATCATGACATTTCTGCACCCTCTCCTCCAATTATCTTTATGTGCATGGTCTGGTGTTGCAGGTGTGCATGTTAAAGGAGAACTGTACTTAAAGAAATATGGAAGCTGCTATAACTCCTACTGAAAATGCTAGCTGCATTTTATAGAGAGGTTAAGTAGCCCTAAAACACTTACTTCTATAAGCACCTGAAATGTTTATTTAGTTAAAACTGCATGCCATTAGCAGCTCTTTTATAAAAGGCAACTTGTAATTTAGAAACTGGCCTTTTAAGTAGAATCACAGGGCTATTTAAAGGCATGTGATGTAATGACACCAAACAGAAATAGTTGCTTGCAAAGTAACTTGAACCTACCAGGAGACATACTGCAGGAAAGGTTACACCTAGGTTGTACGGTACAGTCTGCCATCCTGTTCTTGGGTTCAGACTGGCTAAATGAATGCTGCCACAACAGTCACGCTGTCTGCCGTCGCTTGCTGCAGCAGAGCCTGACACAGCGCACCGAATACAGTTAACGAAATGATGTGTGAGGGTAGGATGAGAAAGGGTTGTATTACTGCAAACTGCTGAAGAAGATAATAACGGTGACATTTTTCTTACTTTCTGTAATGTCAATGTTTTACAATGCTCTCAGCCTACTATGTGCTTCATTTAAATATGTGGAGCAAAGATATTGTCAAAATGCAACAAGTGGATACAATTTTATATAAAACTGACAACATAAAGGGGTGCAGCACTTATACAGAGACATTGTGCTGGCACTAAAGTCCCCTGTGGCAGAGGCTAAGGGGAGTGATGACATCACTCCCTCTGTCATGTGACAGTGCGCCCACATACCTGGAAGCACCAGGGATTTTATCCTACGACAGCAGAGGCACTGGATGTTTGTTAATGTATGTATACCTCGGGTAGGGGGCCCTTTGGAAACACACTGTCACTCACTGCCCTGAGTGGTCAAAGTGTCAACGTTTCTTTAATGCGTACCCATAGCTTGCTGAAAGAAGAGATGGGTATACTGAAACTGAATTCCAGTATGAGGGAGGGGGCCAAATAGTTGAAACATAATTTTAAAATTGTCTGCATCCATATATTTCAGTCTTGAGCGGGAATAAGGAAGCTGAATCGCCATCCAACTTCTCATAAACACAGTATCTCTTGGATATTCTAATGGTGTGATTTCTCTACAGTAGTTTGCGTCTCAAACTTCTTCTACATGGTGGATGGAATCCCCAATTATCAGTCTGTTTCACATTTCAGAGAATGTATAAGATGACCCCCAGCATCTTGCTTGATGATGAATGTGGCAGTTGAACATAACTATCTTTGGGAAGGGAAATGTACACATTAAGACACAGACAGGCAAACCCGAAATCTTTACTATTCCCTACTCTAGCCAAAACTAAAAAAAATAATTTTGGCTTTACATACAGTTTAAGATGGTTGATTTGTAGGATTCCTAAACATATCCTTTAAAATGATCCCCATAAGAAAAAAGCACACAAAGACCCTTTGTTTCTAGTACTGTTGGTGGTAGGCTAGAACCATTGCAAGAATCATATTGCTGTCTGGGTACCTGCCTGTACTTTTCCTTCACTTCCTGTTTGTAAAATGATGGTCAGCAGAACAGAAAGTAAGGGATAACAGTAAAACCCAACAGGTGTTCTAATCCACCCCCATCCAATCCATAACAAAAAAACAGTTGTTGACTTGACACACACTTTAAAGCAGTTAGAGTTGGGGAGGGTAATAACCCTTGTTAGCTTTTTTTTTTTAAATCTGTGTCCTATTGGGAAGATCTCCCTTCGCTTTCTGTCTAAAAGCCACAACAGGAAGTGAGAAAAAATACTTACAAGTTGAGGGAAATCCCTGGTGGTCATCAGGATCACCAGGCCAATTGGAAGAATTCTCATCTATTTCTGTTCTGATGACAGCCCAAAATGTGTGATTTTCTTTCACTTTCAGTGATAACGGTCACCAGGACAAATAGAGAGGGTGAATCTCCCTAATGAAGACGCAGACAGAAATAAAAACCTGACAGGTGTTCTAATTGCTTTACACTCTATCCAAAAGTAAAAAAAAGTTTGACAATCAAAGTTAAGAAAATCCCCCTCCCCAGCTTCCTAACCTAATCTAAGCCAGTCCCCCAACCCAGGTGCATGTTTACCTCTCTATGACGGTGGAGTCTCCACTATAGGATTGCAAATGCATTTAAGTCAATATGCAGTTACTGTGCAGGTGTAGACAGTGTCAGGGCAGACTTCTACACTAGGGTGTCGCAGTACGATAGAGGTGAGCTTGTAGCGAAATTGGGCATTTAGTTTAGATTAGATTAGTTAGGGGGCTTTTTTTTTACAGTAAAAGTCTAGCCCTATTTTAAACTTGAAGCACTTGTGGAAAAAGCCTTGCACCAATCACACATGCAGAAAATGAGATTCATTGGACTGTTCTGTATACAACCAGTGTAGGGAATTCCTCTAGAGTCATCATGATTCCAACATTTGAATTTTCTGTCAGTGTCACTAAATCACAAAATGGCTTGTGTAGCAATTTAATATAGTATAGTTGGTTTTTTTTTAATCCAAAGTGGAGTATTCCTTTAATCATGGCAATTTTTTTTTTGTTTTTAAACATGACAAATCATTTACTATTACCACTTCTTCCAATTGAAGTACAGCCACTAAATGTAAAATTCTAAAAATAATTACCTAATATTACCACACAATCAATGCAACAATGGAACCCACAGCTGTGGTCTCCAAACACTTGCACAGTGAGTGGAGGCTACAAACTTACCAGGCTGTGCATAATTTTCACTCCATCTGGATTGACTGTTAGTGCTTCGTTGTACAATTGCTTTGCCTCCTCCAAACAGCCTTTCATCTCGGAAAGCTTCCCACGCATGTACAGCACAGTGTGTGATGTGGGAAAAAGGCTGGCTGCCTCCTGGATACAAAAGCCTGCTTCTTTCATAAGCTGTTGTTCCATAAAGAGTTCAGCTGTACAATGGAGGGGGGAAAAAGAACAATAAATAACTCATTATTTTTAATTTGTGACAATTGTTAGAGAGCCACAAACATGCAGGGAAATAAAAATATACACTATATGAGTTAATAAACAATGACAGCATATGTGAATGACTGGCAAGCTGTCATGGCACATTGTGATATCTGCAAAATGTATTATATACTCCAATAATCATTGCTTCAAAATAAAAAATATTTTTCCATAGATACTGGGAACAGTTTAAACAGGTTTCCCAGGAAAATGGAAATCCTCTGTGTTGGTGAGCATTCAATCTGTGACAGCTTAATTGAAATCTCACGCCTTTCATGACTTTACATTTCTGTATCCCCACATGTTATGATTTGTGACTGATTTTTGCTTGGATGTACTACATCATACATTTGTCTCTCGGTGAAAATGCTGTTTTCTGCTCTTGCACTGCAGTGGTCTTTGCTGGCAGAGCAGAGTAATAGCCACACCCTTCATTGTCCTCATGCACACTTGTATTGCGGAGAGGGAGAAAGGGTGTGTCTTACCAGTTGTTCCTATTAGACTGCACAGTTATGTTTAGACACTCTGCATAACTGCAGTAACAGCAAAGTTGAGGTAAGACTAGGAAAATTGAGGTTGTTAGTACAATGACTACCTAACTGCATATCTATTTGGGGTCACCAAAAAATAACAGTAATAAAAAAAGCAACATTGTTGTCAGTTAGGTCACTAATGTCCTGAGGGCTTGTGTACATGGGTGTCTGAATTGCTTTTCTTACCATACAAGTCAATGGGAATTTAAAAGCAGCTTGAAGTGAGGAGGTCAGACATAGGTCAGCAGTACTTGTGAAGAATTATCTCAAAAGCATCTCATACCGATCTTAAATGTGAAGTGAATGCACCTGAGAGCACTTTGTATTTGCTTATCTAGACAAGCCACTGTGTGATAGTGTTGAAGTGCAGACAACTTATGGTGCCTGTTAGCACCTTTATTAGTCTCCATATGGATCTCCATGTCCCTGAGGAATCCTTTTGTACCCTGGGTTGGGGCAGTATATAGGATCATGTCCTATCCACATGCCAAATTTAAGCTTTGCCCCCTGGTGCCAAGCCCTCCTCTGTCATTCAACTGTCAAATTCCAGAACTTCAGCGGGGGTTACAGGCCCTGGCATTTGACAGAATAATGACAATGTGCCTGTCTATTATTAAGGGCAACAACCAAACAAAATTCTTCTTTCACTGATGTGACTTCAACATAGTGAATTTTGATTGGTTACTGCACCTAAAAGCATGCAAAAATATGATATGATATATTTACTGAATAAGGCCATGAGAGGTTAAAAGACCCTAACAGAACGGTGATGTTTCCTGCCTAGATTATTAAAATGATCCAAACACAGTTTGTACTTACTTATAAATATAAAGAATTATATTCTCCTCATGCAGCTGTTGCTAAAAGTATTTTGACTTCTCATTTTAAAATGTAAAATTGACGGTCTTAACATTTCCCAAGTCTTTGCAAATGCAAATACAGATTTTATCTTTAGCTTTGTTTGCTGGTGAAATCTGGTGCATCACCATGACCACAGCGGCAATGGTAATCTATGTATACCAACACATCAATACGGTCAGGATAAAGTTCTTTGAGCCCTATGGCCTTCTTTTTTACAAGGGGGAAAGTGGGATCCCTCTGTGTTACCACCCAAGCACACAATAGTCTTTGGGTTCAAACCCCTAAGCAACGTAGGACCCACTTTATACACTAAGCCATACCACTTCTACATGGAACATTTTCTTGTTTGAAAAGAACTGGTCATGATTGCGCTTATGCAAAAAGATGAAAAGCCAGGCTTTGCGCGAACCTCATTATTAAAGGTTTATACATACCCACTTAAAATCCTTTACATATATTGTCTGATGCTGGCACTAGATCTGAGTGTCAGAACCAAAATAAAACCGGGAGACTTAATAGTTGCTGCTTTGCCAGCTGCTGGATTACGAGCAGCTAATACATGCTAATAGATCACGATTGTGCATAACATCATTGAAAAGCTGAACCCTGTAGATAATTGCATTCCCTTTAACTGCAATGCTATATCATTTGATACTGCAGTGCACACTCAGGACCTACGATAGCAATGGTGATTCGAGTGTCACACGGGCTTTGACTCTAGGCATCAGATGCTTTCAATGCGCCCCATGAACAGGCCTCCATATTGGGAAGACAGTATATGGGAAGCCAGTAGAATTAAAAAATAAAGAGACATTAAGAGATACTGTTGTTTGGCTACAACATATATCATAAAGATAGTGAGGGGAATTTATAAAAACCGGAGCAGACAAAATGTGGAGCAGTTGTGCATGGCAACCAATCAGCTTCTATCTTTAGTTTGTTCCGTTAAAATTTGAAAATGAAAGATAGAAGCTGATTGGTTGCCATGCATAGCTGCTCCAGATTTTGTCTGCTCCAGTTTTGATAGATTCCCCTCAGTGTTTTTTTAACAGATGTATGTCTTCCAAAGTTACAGGCTTATGTAAGATCTTTAGCCTTCAATACTTGGGTCTGTTGAATACTTATTTTTTCCAGCTCCAGGTTCCACCCACTGGCACTAGTGTGTCCCTGCAGCTCTGAATGGACCAAATAGTGACACAGGGGACACAGACATAGACATCCAACATACCCAGATGTTGAAGATCCTGGGGGTGCCTGTACCTCTGTAAAAAAGAGAAGATTGCATTCAGTGTAGGAGGTAATGGTAAGAACAATACATGCATTATAAAGAGCTACTGTTAGGATACATGTATCCAAGTGGCAGTGTCTCTTTAAACCCAATGTTTAAGATATTCACTTATAGGCTTTTTTTAAAATGGCATTGATCCAGAAGTAATAGCTTCTTTTCATGTTTCCCAGGGAGTATTGCTTAATGTCTCCCCATTTATAGTTAGTCCTCCCGGAAAGTCACTAACAGAGCTATTCATATGCTGCCCTACAATGCACAGCTGGCAAGTTTCAGGTCCCTGAGACTCACAGTTCTGGACCATGTCTCATGGTGACTTGGGCTTTTTTTTTATGGACCAACTCCAGTCACCCAAGACAGGCTTTTTATCTTGTTAACCAAAGGTTATTGAGAATGTTAGGCGTACGTGTCTGCCTCTGCTGGAAATTGCTGAATCAAATGAAGCTACATTATTCCAGCCTGTCTTCTGACAGTGTGCTGAAAGTGTGTAGATTCTTCTCCAGCAGAGAGTAGTGGAGGAGAGTGTAAGGAGCAAGATACACACGAGTTGGGGCAGATCAAAAGGTTACTGCTAAACTATGACACCTGAGCTATGAGTCCATTGCAGCTCCCCTAAAGTGAACAAAAACAAGCCTTATAATAAAGCTACACCCTAACACTTAACCCTGTCCTACCTGAACTAACCTCTAACATAAGCCCTTAACACTTAACCCTCCACCCTGATAGGTAATGTTTTACCCAATCCTTAAAGTGACATTAATGTCTTACCTTTTTTTTTTATTTGTATACACAGGAGCTCTTGTGTGGGATGCATATCCTGTGTTCTTTTTAAGAAAAATCCTTTTAATTACTTGTTTTCTAGTGGGTCCCCACGGCGCTGGCCCCCTGCACGGGTGCCGCCAACAGCTAAGCAGCTGCTGTGGAGGCACCCATGCGTGCTGGGAGCAGCTGTGTGCGTCCATAGACACACACAGCCCTGCGGCAAGCCACGCCCCTTGTCTCAGCCCAACAGGTTGATTGACAGCAGAAGGAGCTCTGCCCTCATTCGACCTCCCCCAGGACCAGGAAGTAGGAATGCTTTGGGGACGGCAGCGGTGACAAGCGGCGCTGACAGTGTGTGAGGGGGACAGGGGAACACAGAAAGGTACTGGGCATTTTTTACCCTAATGCATTCTCTGCATTAAGATAAAAAGTGCCCTGCCTTTAATTCTACTTTAAAACCCAGTTAGTTTTAAAAATATTAGAGTGACTGAATGACTACTGTGCAGAGTGCTAAAAAAACAACTTACTTTATACTGTCTTACTGTTGTATGTTGTTAAATCTCTCCCCAGTCACTCTTTGCATGTAAGCAGCGGCCTTGCTCCAGTAGACCAGGTGGTGGATAGAATTGTAAACAACACTTAGAAACCCTATCAAGGTTTCTTCGCTGCCTGTAGCTCCATTCTGAAGATTTGCCCTCACTTACTGTCCTGTCACCTGGACAAGAACTCAGCTTAGATCTTTGTAACAAGGAAACAATGGCAAATATACACTGAGTGGCCAGATTATTATGACCACTCCATCAGTACTTCGTTGGGCCAACAATAATCTGGCCACTCAGTGTACAATGTATGTATAAGCAGAACTCTGGACAAATAAAACAACTTACCCTTGCAGCTGGGCTACACTGCAAGGGTTAAGTGCTTGTTTTGTCTAGGAGACTCAAATCAAACTGGTTCACTTACGGCGGTCAGTGCTTACCTCTCTCCACGCCACTCCGGCTATGGTGTGTTTCTCAGCGTCCTCACGTCTAATGCAGGTCGACCTGCATAAGACATGATGACGGTCAGCTGTCCTTAGACCTCCGGAGCCTAGGAGAGAAGAGGCTGTTGGAACCGGTCTAGCAGGCTGGAGGAACTCAGGATCAGGTAAGTAAATCGGCTTTACTCCAGCCCCTAGATCAAATTGAGCACTTAACCCTTGCAGTGTGGGGGTATCTCCACTGCAAGGGTAAGTTGTTTTTTTTCCTGGGGCTCTTTAATAAAGCCTGCAAACACAATAAACAGGGGTTTTTTTTTTTACAGAAAGGTGTTAATTGAAAAAACTCACATGGATTATAAGCTTGGCAGTTCTGCTTTTTATTCACCTACACACCCAGTAACAGGTTGTCAAGCCTATGCCATTTCCCTCTCTTGCCCTGCAGTCTCTGCTCGGTCACAGGCCTTGCAGCTTGATTAGCTCCCACGAGTCAGCATGCTGAGATCAGTGTGAAAGGAGCTTCTG